GCCACACTGCTTGTTGTTTCAGAATCAGCATTATCCCGAATTATTCCACTAGTTTTACTCTGGGCCTGAGAATCCCCATCTTCATCACCATCATCCTCATCCTCACTGTGAGTATAATTGTGGTTTCCAACTTCCTTGTCCTCACTGATGTCAATTTCAGTCATGTGTGCTTCATCCAGGTTGTTTTTTCTGGCCTCTGATTGACTCACAGAGTCAGCAGTATTTTGAGAGCCCTGTTCATTAGGGTCCGATTGATTATCCTGTGAGGCATTCTTCCCAGAGTCAAAACTAGCTTCTGACATTCCTGAAAGTAAACATACATGTGAGCAACTGACCAAGATTTTTTCTTGTGCTGAATTCAAGTAAATGTTTATGCATGTCACTCAATTCCATCGAGGCTGAAGTCTCAGGAAGGTATTCTGGCATTATGCTGTAGGCTACATCATGGAACGAACATCTAATAATCATGGTACAAACAAGCTGTATTTGTTACAAGTCAATACCAAGGAACCAATGACAGCTGAAATTTTCAATGAAAGAGCTTGCAAAAAATGGGTTAGTAAATCAGCACAGGCACATTCTTTCTGACCGAATGTTAGTTTTATTTGTCTTTTAGTTAATACTGTTTGACAGAAACTCATATACAGGTGCATCTCAATAAATTAGAATGTCGTGGAAGTAAATGAACATACTTTCCAGAAGGCCAACAATTCACTAAAAAAAATTTTTTATTGGTCTTATGAAGTATTCTAATTTGTTGAGATAGTGAATTGGTGGGTTTTTGTTAAATGTGAGCCAAAATCATCACAATTAAAAGAACCAAAGACTTAAACTACTTCAGTCTGTGTGCATTGGATTTATTTAATACACGAGTTTCACAATTTGAGTTGAATTACTGAAATAAATGAACTTTTCCACAACATTCTAATTTATTGAGATGCACCTGTACAATCCTTCGTATAAACTTTAGACTGCATCCTGCATTCCTTTACACAAAGGAATTCGAATTCAGGCCTATACAGCAAATAAATGCTTCAGCTCACTAAATTTGCAGCACTTTGTACATCAGTCTTCACTATCTACACCACCTACACTACTCACATTCAAAATGTTTATGGTTAAATAAGGAAATAGTTACTTATAAAGCAAACTATACTCATAGGAGAAGAATTAGCCAAACTCTTTTATGATGAGCTAACATGCAGCTAATGAATAATGAAATCTATGTCTTTATGTCTTTGCACACAGAGACTCTCCCATGATGCTCATGTATCAGTAAGAGTTGAGTTAACCTAGAAACTGGGATTATAGGTTTGTATAATAAATCTCCAGTTACACATGGTGATATGTTTTCTACAAACCAAGACTCAAATGTCATTTAATTATTGAGCTCTACACATTTTCATATAGCGCAAATAACAATTCCAAAAATTATAATTTCAATGCCAAAAGCAACTTTTATTATGCTGCCTCATCAGTAACATTTACACTGTCAAATTACGTAAATTTATTGCATGTAATGAAAATGTGTCCTAGTTTTGAAGATTGTTAAACCATCTTGTACAAGGAAATTGTATATGTGTGTAAATTGTGATACTTTCATTCGTAAATATCTGTCGGTCAATAACTGGAATAAAATATTCATAAAGTTTATGGATTTAGCCTATTTAGTTTTAATAGAAGGAGAGAAAATGCAGGCCATAGACAATCGCAGGAAGAAGCCCACTTTTCCTTTAAAAAAAAAAAAGAAGCCATGGCCAATAAAAATTATGAAACCTATTACGGCCAAGGCTTCGCCCACTAATATTTTACTTAGGTCACGCTTTGTACTCTTCATTTGAGCGCCCAGTCACATGACCTAATTAATATTCATAAACTAACCCTTTCCCATAGTAGGATTCGTTCATTCGCGTCATGGACACGTAAACGCTTTTTTTTTTTTATTTTTTTTTTTACACTTTTCATTGTTAAGCGACGGAACAACACGTACAAACCCAAAGTAATACAAAGTGTATATTAAAAACCACCGTCTTTATAAACAATTTGTATTGTTTAATTATATTGTCTTATTCAACCTCTCAGTGTTGTCTCATTGTTGCGCCCGCACGTCACAAAGTTGCGATAGAGTTACTTCCTTTGCCTGAAGCACTTCAGTCGAGTTATGCGTTACAAAACGCAATAAATCTGCAATTTCACGCTCTATACCGCTTTTATATCAATGACGCGACCTTCATTACGCATGAACACAATTGAAAGCAAAATTATGAGTGGGTGACATTCAGATTTTTTGCCAATACTCTTCTCTTCATCTAAGGCGTGAAACGATCTGAACAGAATAGACAGTAAGTCGGCAGTCTGTTATTCTGTCTGACAGCCTGACTGAATTTCCTTTAGTCACTTTTCCCAGTGGCAGGGGAGGCAGAGGATCAACCCTGCATACTGAAGCCATCATGCCTGCCATCACACATACACGAACACCGAAGCAACAGTTGATTGTTCAGCAGCACTCACCTGCACACAGATTACAACTGTTCTCTTTCTTGTTGCACAGCTCTTTTCATAAAAATGGTCTTGGCTTGAGTTTGAGTTGCTGTGTGTATCATTCGATACACAGCGAATCCCTCCACAGCTCAGTGAAAGTCTTTTCAAACACACCCGGAAGAGGACGTGTGTGTCAGTAGATATACTGGAGCCACAGCATGTCTGTCTCCTAGTGGTCAAACCAACAATGCCAACATCGATAAACAATAATACAGCATCATACAGTAACTACAGAACCATCAATATAAATCTAAATCAAATCAGCCTATTTATTAATATTTTGAATTTGCTTGTTTTTACAATACTTTACTATATAAAGTATACTTTTTTACGTTTTATTTATTTTATGTGCTTCTGTCTTTTTATTAGCTTTATGTTTTTATAACTTTAACTTATTTTGTTTCAGTTAGTCGAAGGCAGCATTTTTCATTTTCGTTTAGGTTTAAATGCAGTAAATAAATTAAAGGTAAATACGATTCAAATACAAATTTTAAATCATTGATGAAATGGTTCTTGAATCATGAATAATAATCATTTAAAAAAAATCTCATTGCACAAACTCTTATACACCTGTCTTCAGAAGAGACAATGGGTACATTAGCTTTACATTTACTCCAAAATAACTTCAATGTTGTCGTTAAATTGATGACTAAAAAAATAAATAAATCTAATATTAGCCTACTCTCTGGGGCAAAGAACACCAAACCTGTTCTTTGCCAAACCAATTGGCCGGTGACGAACTTTGAATTGACTTTTGACTTGAGTTACATTTCATTGTTATTTTATCATTGTTAAAATGTACATTTTAAAATAATTTTGTTGATAAAATGCATTTTATCATTTCTGAATTCATAGCCATCCACTAGGGGGAACTAAAGACCACACATACCTGCAACCTTTTCTTTTTTCTTTTTTTTTTTTTAATAAAAAAAGAATTACAAATGATTCAAAGAATAGATTTAAGGCTTTAAAGTAATTTACAGTAATTTGTTATTTCTTGTTTCTTTTAACGTATACAAATACCTGCAACCTTCTGACAGTCTGTTTACTGTTAGTTAGCAATAGAAAACTATAATGTAATCCAAAGTCAAACAATCTTTGTGTACATATTGTTAAAAACAAAAACCTATGATTTTCTTTTGAAATTTATTTGCACTTATTATGTATTGTGTGCCAGCTGAAGAAAAATGATACAAATCATCAATGATCAAATTACATTACATGGCGGTGGGTGTAAATAAATGCATTTAACACTAATGAAATGACAACATATTGCTACTGTGACGAACAAATGAAATGGAACCAGCTTTGAAACTATGTACAAGCATAAAAATTTGAATATTTACAGAGTATCACAAAAGTTTGGATATTATCTTGAGATGTTTTTCACTAACCAACTGCACAATAAAACTGAGTCAACATTGCTCTAACTGTGCAGCACATAGAGAAGCATGTCTCTGTGGTTTTACCAGCATGTGACTTTACTCTAATATTGGGTATTCATATGCCAAAACAAAAGAAAACAGCAAACAACTTTGCGAGCAAAACAAAACACAGACCCATACAGTACAACATTATTAATATAACTGACACAGAAAGAAAATAAACCAATACTATATAAAACTGCTGATTGTAATTTAAAGAATATAATACAGGAACAGTGCAGTATTTAGGCTCAAGTAGAAAGAAGACAAAAACCCTGGGCTAAAGAAACCATACATTTGTTGGCCTACTCATCATTGTCTGGGGAGAAATGAAAATATTCACATAAACATACATGATCATACTTCAGACGCTAGTGTCACATGGGATATTTTTAAACATTGAGAATAGAGCCAGCTATCTCATTGTGCTGATAAAAATACTTAAAGCAAAACTACTCACACAAGCCTTCTCACTATTTTACTGTGGCAGATTCAAATCCACATAGACCATGCATTGCTAGAAAACATGTTTCCTAACCATATTTGATAGAGGAACTATATATGAAATTTTCATACCTACCATTTCAACTTCTCACATGCAAATATTTCCTAAATATGTGACCCCCCTTTCTTATTAATGGGTCTGATTATTCCAGTAATTTCTGTGAGGACAATTAATGTACTGGCATACAGTGACATTCTAGAAAATTTAGTGATTTTAACTTGTTTGTTGCAACAGATGTCATCATAAAGATATTCAATAGGGTTCGTTTCTGGGTTTTGGGCAGGCCGGTCAAATTCTTCCACATCAGACTCAGTTTTATTTGAACGTTGTTTTGTGTACAGGGGTATTGTCATTCAGAAACAGAAAAGGACCCTTCCCAAACTCCTGAAACAAAGCACAGAATTCTCTACAATGACATTGGGATGGTTCACCCAAAATTTAAAATTCATGTCATTCCAAATCTGACTTTTCTTCACCTTTGAAACACAAATGAAGATATGTTTAATGAAACCTGAGTGATCTGTTCCTTTTAAAGTCCATTCAAACAAATCTTTGCTGCTTCAAAAAGTTAATAAGACATTGTAAACATGGAAGCTCAACTACTTGCTTGACATACAAAAACAAATCTCATTGGTTTTTGCAGAAGCTCAAACATGCTTGTGCGACACACAAAAACAAACGTTGGTTGCTGTGAATCAAGCAGGACTATTTAAGCTTTCATTTACCATATTTTATGTGCTCTATGCATATGGATTGATGAATGTTTATGTGAATAAATGCCTAAATCAAATCTGTTTATCATATAAAGTGACTGGGTCTCTTAGAAGCATTGGATTAAACTGTTCAGTTGATATGAATTACTTTTACAATGTCTTTATGAACTTTTTTAAGCATCAAAGTTTTGGTGGCATGGACTTTCAATAGAGGAACAGAAATCTCTCATGTTTCATAAAAAATGTCTTCATTTGTGTTTGAAAGACGTTTTGTGCGTTTGGAATGACATGAGGGTGAGTAAATGACAATTTAATTCTCCTTTTTGGGTGAGATCCTTTTTAAACTTGTTTTCACTGGAAATAATGGCAGAACTCGTTAAGGGCCTAGAAGGGGTGTCCACATACATTCGTTTTATGCTAGAAGATTTTATGCTAAAACATCTGTCAGAAAATTGTTCTGTGGCAGTTTTGAGGCTCTATAGTCAAAAATGTTAGAAGAGAGGAATGAGTTTTGTGAATAGTAAAAATGACAGGTGCTGTTAACTGACAAACTTATGAGGGAAAATGAAAAGTTGTAACTGTGCTGAATCTAGGTTAGGTGCTTTTTGGCAGTTACAAGTGACAGCTCCACCAATCCTGAGCTCTGACTGGCCAGGAAAAGCAGACATTAGGGTTTTAAATGAACCTTTGGTGTGACTGTTACAGGTCTTCATTTTCAAGACCATTTGAGTGCTCTGAGCAGTGGACAATCCTAGCACTGAAGCTTGCGAATACTACGAGAAATTCTCTTAAACTCCCGCTGACCCTTCTGCCAGCGCTTCAATGACGTGATGACCAAATTTCCATCCATCTTCTGGCCCATCACCAGATAAGCGGCATTGATGTCATTCATTTCATCACACACACACTGAAGACCATCTTTCAGCCAAAGCACCATCTTCCTGAAGTCACGATCAGTAACACCACCATTCATCTTGTAGATAGTCTTGCTCTTGGTTTCTGGAATGATTTTGGTGTCGCCATTCATGTAGGAGATCTCCTTGACTTTGATCTTTAAAGCTAGTGTGGAAATACAATTGAAGGTTGAGGACAATGGATATAAACAACTGCTTGAATTCAGGGTAGACCAAATTTATGAATAACTTTGGCTTTCTCTATACTCTTAAAAAGAAATGTTCCTCACCTCTTCATAATTTTCACTCAGTGGGGTTCTATACTTTTCTAGGTTTTCTTAAGAACATAAACCAACCTTAGCTGGTTTGTTGGTCTGGTCTGTTGGCTGGTTTTTGAGGTGCACCTTTCAATCAACAAGATAAACCAGCTAAACACCATCTTGGCCAGGATAATCCTAAACTGGCTTAGACCAGTAAACCAGCCTAGGCTGGTTTAAGCAGGTTTTTTTTTTTTTTTTTAGATTTATGATTCTTTGAATATTAAAACATTTCTTGATGTTACATTATAACTTCTTCAGATCAGGGTTTTTTAAAGCACCAAACTGTTTTCAAAAAAAAAAAGAAGAAGAAGAAAATAAAGTCTTTTGTGGAATTTAAAGTGATAGTTTTCCCCAAAATAACATTTCTGTCATCATTTACTTATGCTCATGTTGTTCTAAACCGGTACGCATTTATGAAATGCATATTCATATTCATATATGATATTCTTCTTTGTTTTTTTTTTTGGCCTACACAAAGAAAGTCGATGGGTGCCAGTGCTGTTCTGGACCCCACTGACTTTCACTGCATGGACAAAAACAGTTGAAACATTCATTAAAAAATCTTAATTTGTGTTCTGCAAAAGAACTTCATACAGAACAATATGACGGTGAGTAAATGATATTTTTTGGGCGACCCCTTTAAAGGTTATTTTATATAACATTAGGCTGCATAGCCCTTTTTGGTTATAATTGATCTTTATTTTTAAGAGCGTAAAGCAGAGATGCCACTACATTAACTCAGATGTTTAAAGCAAACAAAATATAGCCTTACCAAAGTCATTTTTGCACAGGCTGTCCACAATTTCATTGTCATTCTCAGGCTTTTCTTTGCAGGCATCACACACTCTTGGAACTGGGCAAAAAGATCAACATAGCAGTAAAGGTAAAAGGGTGTGCATGCACTTAAAAAAAGTAAAATAATAATAATAATAATAATAAATTCTACCTTCCTTGGTGACTGGCACTAAAGCATCTGCGCCAGCAGGTGGTATGCACAGGTCATTATCCAGAGGGAAGCGATTGCAGTCCAGCATGTCCGGCCAAGGAAACCCAAACGCGGCCATCACTGGAGCGCAGCCGCTCTTCACGCTCTCACACAGCGACCTGCACGGCTGAATCGGCTCGTCCAGATCATCCAGACACACCGGTGCGAAAAGAGAGCAGAGAAACTTCTTGGTGTCCGGATGACACTGTTTCTGCACCAGAGGGGTCCAGGAGGAAGCCTGTTGCAGAACCTCATTCATGGTTTCGTGTCCGAGGAGGTTAGGCAGACGCATGTCCGTGTACTCGATGTCATGGCACAGGAGCAGGTTTGCAGGTATGGGCATGGGCAGCCTAGAATATCATGAATTTTCACAACAAAATAAAATATTTTTTCTTTATTGAATTGTAAAAAAAAAACAAACCCTCTTTGTTCTCTTTCTCTGGGTCATTGTTTCTACAGTGGTGATTCTTTTGAACTAACTTTTTTATTTATACCGATATTTTATATATACGATTAAAAAAAACCGAATAGTTTGCCTCACAGAATAGCCGACTGTTGCTATAGTAACGAACGCAACTTTCATCGCACAGCTCTTATTTCAGTGTTGTTTGCTATCAGTTTGTATTCTAACATTCAGCATTAACAGCAAGTCAAAAGGGGTAAGCTTTCAACTGAACTGTATAGCCTACATGCATTTTAAATGCTTATCTTGCCCCGTCCATGCAGTGCATGCACGTTATTGAATGAGTGGGTTTTTTAGAACATTAATTCAACTGCTCAGGTGTGTCCGGGTGACACTGTTTTTGCACCAGAGGGGTCCAGGAGGATGCCTGCTGCAGAACCTCGTTCATGGTTTCGTGTCCGAGGAGGTTGGGCAGACGCATGCCCGTGTACTCGATGTCATGGCACAGGAGCAGGTTTGCAGGTATGGGTTTGCAGTTGCTCTTTTTCTGAAAGAGCTCGGGCTGGTCGAAGGCGTATAATCCATGAAGCGCATCCAGATATCCAGGTAAGGAAAGCGCAACCAGCAGCGCCAGAAACGGGAGCATCATTGCTTCAGTTGAGAGGAGACAGAACACACGTCTGACGCGGAGTTATGGATAACTGAATTCTCTTCTGTACCAACCTGTTCTCATAGTAAAGCCTGGGCGGAGCGAGAGAAGGCGCTCAGATATCCACTGCTGAAGTTTCTGCTGTTTTCTGCATATAGGTCAGCCCTGGTTCTGGACAGCTATAGAAGGGTGGGCTGGCAGATATTTCTCTTTCTCTGGGTCATTGTTTCTACAGTGGTGATTCTTTTGAACTAACTTTTTTATTTATACCGATATTTTATATATACGATTAAAAAAAACCGAATAGTTTGCCTCACAGAATAGCCGACTGTTGCTATAGTAACGAACGCAACTTTCATCGCACAGCTCTTATTTCAGTGTTGTTTGCTATCAGTTTGTATTTTTACATTCAGCATTAACAGCAAGTCAAAAGGGGTAAGCTTTCAACTGAACTGTATAGCCTACATGCATTTTAAATGCTTATCTTGCCCCGTCCATGCAGTGCATGCACGTTATTGAATGAGTGGGTTTTTTAGAACATTAATTCAACTGCTCAGGTAATTTCAGTGGTAGGCTATGATACATACTCATGTATTAAACTCCCCGTAACTCACAAACTCCCCGTGATAATTAAATATTTCTGCCCCTTTTCGCTCGTTGTCAGCCTAGAGCTGCTTTTCTGCAACAGACTGAAGCTCCGCATGAATTCAGCGCGCCTTGCTTTCAGCTAATAAAAGAAAAGTGCTGCAATTTTCTGGTGTTATTTTATGATTGTTGGGGCAGGCTCCAGCTATATCTTAAACTTTTCAATACAGTCCACTTCAGATTGGTTTTAATCACGGCACAAAATAAATAAATAAATAAATAACCCAATCTTTATCTAATTCTGATTGGGTTGGCAAGACAACCATTTGGGTGGGCTCAGCCCACCCCTGCCCATGCCTGGAGCCAGGTGTTGTGCCGAATTCTGCACCCTGCCAGATTATGCATCCCCTCCCAGGTAGCCAAAACGGTTTGGCCCGATAATGGCCCAGATCCGGCAGGCCGGAGGAAATAACTCGTTGCCAGAGTCAGCATGGACATGGGATGAATGACGCCCCAGAATTGGCCCAAATACACTGGTCTGAGTCCGGCTGCAAAAACTGCCGGCATTGGGCCACAATCACACCGACAAGAATTTAAACACTTAGCCAGTACTGGCCCGAATCTGGGTACTAAAACTGAGTCAACACCACCGACATTGGGCCACAATCACACCGACGAGAAATAAAGCACTTAGCCAGTACTGGCCCGAGTCTGGGTACTGAAACTGGGCCAACACCACCAGCATTGGGCCACAATCACACATACTCAGTTTCAGTACCCAGACTCGGGCCAGTACTGGCTAAG